AGAAACGCAGAAAGTTATGCTTACTTCGAGAAGCCATATCAGTAGTTTGGGGGAGAGTTTAACTCTGGAATAGATCTCTGAAATTTTATCAAAATAAGGTGTTGACCTTCCTGGTCTTTGATAGTACTACACCGACAGCTCAAATAAACTAACCGTAAAATTTATTGTGGTTACATTATGGAGACCAAAAATTCCACTACTATCGTGTCCGAAGCAATTCAGCATATGCTAATTGGAGCAAAGTCACATGCCTACTCAACAATTATGGCAGTATTCAGACTTCGCGCCGAATTTGCGAATCTCTGAACCCCAAAAGGCACGCTCCGCAGTCTATGGTTCCAATACCAATGCTCACAATGTGCTGGGTGGGCCTTGCCGATCTTGGTCGGCCACTACAACTGCTTTCATACTGAAAAATTAATTACAGCTGGATATTGACGATATCGAAGGCGCAACACATGGTGAGTTTGATGTTAATACCAAGCATACGGAATGCGCGTTTCTCATATTCACTGATTCAATCTCGGCGCGAAGTCTGGATACCGCCTTTTAGCTACTCAGACATTAATCAGCAAAGAAACGTGGATTTCGTTGAATAACTGTGCAACGATTAAAAACGTAAACGTTATCACCACAAAAAAGTTGCTCAAGGAAACACGAAAATACATAAAAATTTATACGAATATTTAACAAGAAGAACGTGCAGCATTAAATATCAGGTGGAATAACACCGTCCCAAGTACAAAAAAGCAAGATGAAATGACCGCATGATCGAGCTGTTATGCATACATTTCACGCTTCTACATTTATGTAGATATCTAGAACACTATTGATGCAGTACAGAGAAAAGGGGAAAACGTCATCACATGCACTGAGAAATAAATAACACAAAATATTTGCGGAAAGAGGACTGAAGGCGCTATTGACACTCGAGTACTCTACCCTAATACCTCGTTCGCTTGTCCGAAAAGAACGATCGCAGCAAAATCACCTGAATAGAAAACTTCATGGATTTTCAAGGTCACTAGAACACATGCGGTTTAAATTAAGGACGGAGTTCACGATCAAAAGGCAGCTCATTGGAAATAGAGGTAGAGGTGGTCAGTGGCGCAGGGAAGGAGATGAGGGAAAAAACTTGACGGCTCCGACACAAAGGATCCCTTCTTCGCCCGTTTACTTCCGCATTAATGCTGGCTGCCACCTTCAAAAATTCCAATTTTTGCAGGAAGAAGAAAGCCCTGGCATGCGTGAACCATTTCGTTTTCGCTTTTACACCCATCCCGGAGTTTCGTTCCCTTGCAAAAAGTGGGATTTCTTCAGCGAACTGTCGCACCACATGCACACACACCCCCTCTTTCCCCACCTTACAAGATGAGAGACCCAAATTTCTATCAAAAATGTGAATAAGGGGTTAACCAATGCCTTTTGATGCTCGCATATGACTCACAAAAAAAAAACACAATGGAACTTCGATTGCATTGCCCAGAGAACAATGGACTGGTGAAGCGACTAGCCAAGCTATTTAGCTGAGCGTTTTCTCGTGAACGAAATTACTATCAGCTTAATGACCCCGAAGGGATAGAAGGAAATTTTGTTCAAGGCGGACTCAAGCTGGGATCTAGCCGCCAGACCATTCGCGTTACGTGGAGCCACTTGCCGCTATGCCACTCCCCCCCCCCGAAAAGTACACGTATTCGCAAAATTGAAGGAGAACGGATTCTTAAGACATCTGATGGCGTTACGCATTCAACGGAAATACCCCGTACCTGAGCAATTCCAATAAGGACTATAAGAGCTGTCTGTCCTAAACTCCACAACAGAACGCGTTCATTCAACTGTTCGGCACGCTTTCGTCCAGTGGCTTCGCGAAGACGGTGATGTGTTTGATAATCATCAACCTTGAAGAGGAATGGACTCCAAACGTAGCAGACGTAGGTAAACCAAGCAAACACCCACCACACGCAGTTTGTCTGCAATTGCGACAGCAGAATTTTCAAGCGCAGTCATAGCGTGAGTGCCGGGTGTTGCACCTTTATTGGCATTGCTTTGGTCATTAACCTTCGTAAATCTTCGTCACGCATAATCGAACAAGATTTGTACTGAAATGCTAATTAACAGCATAAATCAATTAACGTAATAGATTAAAATGGAACAACCTGCCAATCCATGTAGACGATCTTGTGGGAAAAGGTTGAGAATTCATTTGAGAAACAAGCCTTGTAAGTACAAGGAGATCTGATAGATTAGTCTACCATTTTCATATGAAAGCTGGGTGCTTGAAGAGCCCAGCTTTGACCTTCCAGCTGTTGATGTGTCATATTGTTTCTTGATATCTTTGTACAGTAACTTTACCATGTGGGTCTTCTTCTAAGTCATGTCGACGTCATACTGTCCTCCAGTAACAACCTGCAATAAGTGAGGCTAACATGTAGGTGACAACTATGAAAAAGCTGCGCGACTGCAAAATTTTCGATTTTCCATATACTTATTCAATCATTTTTCTACGTCTTGCAGCAATGTTCGATTTCTGTGAGCTCAGCTACAGAGCACCTCTAGTAAGCATAGGTTTTTCTACGGGGAACTCTTATTTTACCTCTGAACTACAATGCAGAACGCTGGGAAAATATTTTGGCGCGTCTGCTTGAAAATTCTAAGGCTGGTGTCAGAGTCCGCGATCCGTCGCAGGTTTCGCTGATTTTCGCGATTTGCGCGATTCACGCGACGGGTCACGGAAATCACAAGTGCCCGATCAATACTGCAAGGTGTTCTCCAATCCTGCCGCCACTTCTGCTTGATAGTGATGGCTGAATGACGACTGCTCATGATTCCACTTGTTTCATATTCAGTGTTTCAAATGTTCACACACTTGCAATTTTGCGATCCGTCGCAGGTTTCGCGTAAATCGCGTGAATCGCGCAAATCGCGAAAATCAACCTGCGCGACGGATCGCGGACTCTGGCACCAGCCTAAAGCCGTAGGCACCAGCCTAAAGCCGTAGCAAGCCAGTCCGTCCAAAACAGAAGTGGGGTCAAATTCAGTTGGAAGCTGTCTTGATGGGAATTTTGCGTCATTATTATGATACTCTTGCGGTGTGTCTTCAGCAAGTTAAAAATACAACAGTTTTAGAAATAGAAAACCAAAACACCTTTATGGCAGGCAATTCTGATAAGATTGATAACGAAGAGAGTATATGCGTGCAAAATAGACGATAGGAGGTAGAAGGCCATCATCAACAGCATGGTGAGCGCTAAAGACCACTGAACAGCAGTGCGCCCCAGACACGCCCACAGCCACCTGCTTGGGAAGGATGATAATGACAGCCTCCTCGACATGAATCCGATGTAATCATCGTTCGATTTCATTGTACACGATTGTAACGGCTCTTGTCTGTCGCTCACCTCTGGCATAATGTCACTGTTCAACCTCACCCAAGCGACTTCTGTGTAAGTGGTAAACTCATGCTCGGAGTTTTGACTGTTCCTCTTGGTTTTTTTTTCGAAGATGCACCACTGCACCACTTAGCACCCTTACTTACAATTCCATCGAAATAAACTCATTGTGATGACCGCCTCTAAGTTTCCGTAGATGGCTCAAACGCTCGTCATTCTGACTATCCGAGCTTGAAAACAAATTTCCAGGAAGATCTAATAAAACATCCTATTGACACACACTAACATACAGTTCCAAATCTCGAAATCTGATTGAGCGTGTCTATGGATTTGACGTGGCCGTCGCCGCATAGAAGTTGTGTGGATAAGCTGTTCTGATATACTTCGTTGGATTTCAGCAAAGCATACTGGAGGCAATCTGTTTGCGCGGCTTTTATCCAGACTTCAAGATATGGGGCCTAGTGCAACAAGCCGCGGCCGGGAGATGGATCCCCAAAACTCTGCGTCTGTACTCTGGTCGATGTCGCAGTGCTCGTGATCTAGAATAGGGGAATGTGTTCAGACATGCAGTTTTGGGGACCCAACCCACGGCCGGGGTTCGCTGCACTCTGTAACATGAACTGTAAGCACTCCCCACTGCAGAAAAATAACATGACACATCATACACTTTTCAAGCCGCCACCACCATCAGGCGATTGGTTGGTCACTTAGTGGGGAGGGGACCATGTAGCCATGGCGCTTGGTTTGTCTACTCCTCTAGGGCTTAGTCTGCGGTGCCACTGTATTTCGAAACTTCCACGCTGCGGCGAATAGGCGAATAGTAACGGTCTCCATGACTAAACATTAAAGGAACAGACGAAGAGAGCGCCGCACCGCCGCGTGGTCCCCCCCCCGGTCGACGGACTACTTGAACTCAGCCCTTTAAACCGCCTCTGCGCTCTCTCGCGGGTCCCTCTCCTCTCCAAGGCTTAGTCCTAGGGCATTCACCCGTTCTCTAATCGTCTGTGCTCTAGCCATCGCGGCAGGACCATTGAGGAAAAATCAAGTAGTCCGTAAACCCCCCTCCCCAACTAAGTTAGCACCGGCGATGGCACACTCTGAAGATCCGAGTGTAGAGTCATTGATTAGATAAAGATAATCGTGAAGTATAATAAAGAGACGAAAAATAGACTTTGTTCCCATATAAGTGTGATTTTGACTTGATTTTCTACACTATAACTCAAAACAAAACGATTAAAAAACACAATTCTTACCTGGTACTCGAGCAAAACATCCACACCGCTCTTAATATCCTCGTAGAAACACTGATTTGCATTATCGGGAAGCTCAAATGTCAGCTCTATTCCGTAAACTCTCAACAACAGGAGAGCCGCCAAGATGGCTAACCTGCGCATCCTGAAAAAAAACACGTGGAGATTCCTGTGACTCATCAAAAGAGGAGCAAAAACAAGTTTTATAATACTATCTGGCATTGTTGATCGATTTTCATGAAAAAATAGTTGAAACAAGGAGAACAACAGATGACGTGGATGTTTTGAAGCGACATCTCCAAAGTCAGTTAAGTGAAAACTGCCAACGGGATATTGCGTACGTTCGCAATGCAGAAGACACCTGACACCGTAATCCTCGACCGAGCGGAAAACGCTCTGCTAAAACGGAGGTGTTCTTCCAACTTAAGCTATCCAGTATCCATCTCCAAAACCTTTACGAGGTAAAATTGAAGCCTTTTTCGCAATAAAAATCGGTTCAATATGGATATTATTCCCAATCGAGTCATTCTTCTCACGGCTCCGTATTTGCAGACAAAGCTATTTATCGGCCGTTCATCCACGGAACAATTCAGCCGCGCACAGCGAAGAATCGCATCCGTACATTCGCGATCGATAATGTTTTGCTATCCGCTGATTCAACGAAATTGTTGTCGCTGCTTCATAAGCAGCTGATTTCACATGCCTCTGTGATTTTTACGGCCCTCATGTGTTTTCATAACCCGCTACGATGCCTTTTAAACGTTTTCGCATCAGCAGTCGTTACGGCGCCCATCTTTAGCAAAAGCTTCTACTCATCAAATTGAGAAAACTGTTGAAGTTCAAGTCGTTAGGGGGACAATGAAGTGAGTGAACCGCTTAGAAAAGTTGGGACTAAGTCCCAGGGAGGGGAAGGGATTCTTAGGAGGACGTGAGCAACGTTTTGTTATCCCTGGTGTTTCTGCCCCTCTCCTAAGCTTATTGCTAGCTCCTGTGTAA